ACAACATCAAAACTTACTAGAATATGATTTGGATTTATGTCTATGTCTGATAATTTTTGTAAAAAATGTTCAGAATTTTTAATATAGGAAGTTGTAATTGTTTTAAAGACAAAAATTTTTGAGGCGAAATACCCAAAAAGAAGTTTGTAAAAATGAATCCGCCTCAACAATATAGAACTTATCTACAACATTTTAATTATGATCTAAAAGCGACAGATTTTAAAATAACGAAAAATTACGTTTACATTTTTCAATTCTTCAGTAATATTACTTAACAACTAAACATGTTTTAATTTTAATTTTGTATACAATCCGAAACAGCGTTTGAGGCTTAAATTTACCGCATTTATTCCATTTAAGGGAACTGAGTTTTTCTCTGTGCTGCTACAAGTAACTTTGTGATTTAAGGGCTGTTTTCTATTGCCTCCTTCAAACTTAACAGCCTGCTTATTAAATCGACAAGCCAGAAGAAAGAGAAGAAAGAGTTTTAAATTTTATTTTATTAAATATCTTTATAGATCTTGCCTCTCATTAAAACGTTCATTATATGTCGCCTAATCTAGCCAGAAAAAGGAGGTAATCAAGTTTATTAATACCGTTTTATGTTCATGATTGAAATATCATCAACGGTGCATTTGACTAGATATCTAACTGCACGTTTGCAATTTTATTGGAACCTTGGAACGTTTCCAGCAATTTTCCGGAAGTTTATTGAACAGGTTTTATTGACATGAGAACTTTAAGCGAGTTCAAAATTTAATTTTAAATTGAAGAAGTTAGAACAGCACATCTACAATGTCACTTAGAAGAATACGAGTGATGAATAAACAAATAAATAGATATGGTAGTTGTTTAACTACAATGATTCACAATATTGCCATTTGGAATGTTGATTTGAATCGATTTTTTTATTGTTTCAGGGGGCCATTTAGTATAGTGCGAAGATGCATTCACAGGCAGACTGGACAGCAATTTGCTGTAAAAATCGTAGATGTAGCAAAATTTACCTCCAGCCCAGGCTTAAGCACAAACGGTAATGACATTATTTTTTTACGAAGTCGCTTATTGATTGGTTGTTTAAAAGTAGTCAAAAATCCCTTTATTACTACAGTTGATAACACATTTATTTTTTATAGATTTGAAAAGGGAAGCAACGATATGCCACATGCTCAAGCATCCACACATTGTAGAGCTATTAGAAACATATTCGTCAGAGGGCATGCTCTACATGGTGTTCGAATAGTAAGTTTTATTTTCTTATTTCTTTCGTCTATTTTTGTTTATTGCCCATCGAACAATTTCAGAGTAGAACATGCTACATAAGTAAATATAGATATATTCTATTTTTCTCGTTGTGTTTGTTTAGCAGTTTATGGATGAATATTTACCTACTCTAGAAATTCTCGGAGCGTGTTTAATTTTATTTACAGTTCCCTGATCACATTTTCTTTACTCAAAATAGAATGTTGTGTGAATATCATTTACATTTTTTATCGCGTTCCAACTCTAAATTTGTTATTTTGCTTTCTAGAGCAATATTTGATACAAATTACATCAACAAACATCTATTTTAACCGTTTGGCTCCTGCATCTAAATAAATGTTATAATTAACTGAATTGGAAGCATAAACCCGGTTTATCCCCCTAAGTTTCATGTAAATGTTAGTCTTCGACTTCCATCAGAGCACTCGTATGAAGCAAAAAGTGCGATAGTTAATCGAATTTACGACAGGGTCGTAAAACCCGGTATCTTTGGCTCGTTCGCAAATTTCGTTTTTCGGTTTTATTGGTGACTCCGAAATAATCACAATTGGCTGTATACTCTTTACACAATTATTAAGTATTTTGGTAGGAAAATCATCCTTCCATGTGTGTTTATGGCACCCAAAATCTAGATTACTAATGAGAAATTTTCAAAAACCGTGTATTCTCCTTTCAAAAATTAACGTATTTAGTATCAGATTTTCGTACTTGCTGCAGTTACTGAAGCTCGCATTTTCAATAATTCTTAAATAACTTAGAAGCGCAGTTTAATAATAATTTTTGCTGAATTAACTCAGTCAGCAGTTTTACGTCAGTTCAAGTAAAATTGTTCACTCGTCAGTAGAACGTGATTCTTGGTTCTACTGTCGACATAAATTTTTACGTTTTAAGGCTTAAAAGACAAAACTATTAAAAAATCAATAATTTAATGTGTAGTTTATATTAAGTACTTCCGAATTTCTCATTCGCTGCGAATCCTGTAGCAACACGAAATATGGTTAGTATAAATAAAAATTATTTAAAAAAAGAATATTTTCGGTTCAACATTATTATTTCAACAATTTACAACAAACTAATTATTCATTATAATTATGAGTTTGTTATGTTACAGTTTTTGGGGGTTTTGGTTATTAGCTTAAATTATGTTGGACTGTTTATTTCTGTCAATAATTGTGTTGCAATATACCAAAAGATTGGAATAATTAAAATTTCTCGAAATCCGGAATGATCGCATGAATGAATCGGAACTGGAGGTAAAAAGTCATTGTTTTATTGCATTTTCCGTTAAAATACCCATAAGCGAAAGCTTACCCGACACATTATCAGTTTGATTTATTCCTCAAAGACTCAAAATCAAAAATTCTTACTTACAATGTGTTCGAAATGGACAAGACGCCAGCAAAGTTTGCTTACAGGTATTTTATGGCAAAATGTATACGTAACGTACGTACGTACGTGGTGTAAGTTATTATTTTTTACCTAAATTTCTGCAATAAATTGACTTAAATGTAGGAAGAAATGCTTTCAATGAGAATTTTCAGAATTTCAAGCGGAGTTCGAAAATTGCATCAAATTTTCCGTTTGCGCAAGGTGCCAAACCAATTAATTGGTTTCGGCATTTTTATATTGAAGAATTGCAATTTGAATCTGGAAAAGTTTTCTGATATTGCTGGTTAGAAATGTCTCTGATGATCATTATTTTGATGATCATATTTTATCACAACTATTTTAATCAAAACATTACCAATTCTATAAATAGCCATTTATTGGGGACGTGAATAATTCAAATTAACACATAGCTAAATCACATCAGTTTCAAAATATACGTCCTCGTTTAATTGTTATGTATTTGAAAAATGTCTGGATTTCAAGTCACGCAGCCTGAAATTACATTTTGCTGTTCGTCCATGTGATCAATAAAAAATCGCTTGAAGCGCATAGTCGTTAAAGTACATTTGTCAATTTTAGCCAACTGTTTTTACGACCAGCTATTAAAAAATTTATTTGCAATTAACAAAGCATTGAACGTTATTTCCAGTTGTGTGATTCAAGAGACTTTTTTTGTGCATACGTATGCCCACACCTGTATAGTTAAGTAAACACTTATATTTATTTAGTTTGGATCATTAATTAAAATGTTCACACAAACATTGGTGTGTAATTTTTGAGTTAAAATGTTTTCGGCAAATACTAGCCACAATTTAACAATGAGTGAAGAATTCCAGTCGTTAATTTTCGTGTGAAAGCATAATAAAGTATTAACTTTTTTATTAAGCTGCTTTTTGAAACAAATGAGTGTAGCTTTGCTAAATCTTAGCACAATATATATTATATACAGGGTGATTCAAAATTGACGTCATTTCTCTGGAGGTGATGTCTGGCGGTGTTTTAGGAGTACCGAAAAAATAGTTAAAAAAATTATTGTTATTAAAAACTGAGAAATTTACAAAAAAAACTATATTCGAAAGACGGCAACAATGTTTTTCAAGGTAATCTGCCTAATTTACATTACGTAAATACCTGTTGCTTTGTAAGTAATTATTAAAAACTCCGGTAACCATGGAATTATATCGAAAGTGGCAATAAAATAGACAAGGATAAACGGTAAATTCAACGGGAATCGTTGAATGACGGGACGTATTTTTTCGAAATGTTAATTATTGTCCTCACAACCTCGAATTAATTTGTTTACGTATTACAAGTAAACATACATTTGAGTCTTTAACTCCAAACAAGTTAGTGCCTCTGTAATCACCTTATTCTTCACTCTTCTCGGGCAGCTTCTCATATTTGGTTAATTAACTCCTGCTCAGTTTGTACCGTTATTCAGTAAGCCATTGGTTTAATGTGTCGTTGTGCTCTGGGTATCTGACATACGTGGTAGGAATGTAGCCCTATTTGGAGGATACTGCTTTATAACAAAGTTGAAATTCGATTTTCTACTGTTAATATCTTCTAGAAATTATCGGAAAAAACATTTTCAATATTTTTCTCCTACTCTCCAAGTGAGCCCCTATTACCCCTTAAAAGGAAAGACACCGATTTTGAATCAGCCTGTTTTATGTTTTAGATATGTAAATCGAACATTTAGATTTACATACGATACAGGGAGCTCGTTTTTTTACATATTTTATGGTGAATCTCGTTTCTTCAAAAATGTAAGTAACGAACATGTCGTGTTTAAAAAAGTTGATGATGAAACGCTGCAGCACCAAAACGTCGGACTGAAAATATGATATCACCATTTTGTAGACGGCAGAAGTTGCCAAGAGAATGTATTAATCATTTTCGATTATGAATTAAACGTTTCCTCTAAATTTCAATATTTTTCAAATATCTTCGAAGGCGTCTCCTAAGACCTAAACTGGCATTTAACAAAGCTCAGAAATGCCCAACTTTGCACCAATTTAAGCGACTTGGTAGTTCTTGCATGTAATATTATATTCGCTCAATCTGCAAGCTTTGCAGTTGTCTATTGCATTGACGTATAAAAATTACATGTTAGACTGATTTCCTCCGAGTAGTTGCTCCAGAAAGGACTCTTCCCTGCAAATAATTGGTAATATTTAAAAGTAAATTAATGCGAATCGTCATGATCTGGCTGATATTCGTAGTTAATTAGATTCATTGTCTCTAAAATTAGTTGCCAAATTAAACAGTTGCGCCCAAAATAAAGCTTTTTATTAGCTGATTAAGTGCCTCCGCCGACGCATTCAACAGCACGTCAGCCTGCGGGCATCTGATTCGGCTGTCCATCTCATCCAGAATTGTTGCTTGGAGTACACTGATTTTCATTATTTTTCAATCAACTTTGCTTCACTTTTTAATTATTTTACGTTTCTATTTTGTTTGTAATATACATATGTGAAATTGTAAATTAAATTTCCGACACGTCACAAAATTTTATTCTTTATTGTTATTGTATAATAGACACCAGTTCAGTTTTGATGTATATTTTATAATGATGAAACCTGTACCTATTGGATTTTATGTTTTATAAATTAATGTGATGAAATATAAAATATTTTCTGTTTATAAAATACTCCGGCTTATAATGTCTGCATTTCTGACAGAAGATTACTTTTGTTTCAGTATGGATGGGTCTGACCTGTGCTTTGAAGTGGTCATAAGGGCTTCCCAGGGGTTTGCTTATAGTGAAGCGGTAGCCAGGTAATAGTGTATTTTAATTAATTAATTAAATTCAGTCCTAATTACTCATTTTATTCAAAATGGAATTGCAGTACAATTACGTTGCGTTTTGTTCTTCCAGCCATTATATGCGACAAATCTTAGAAGCGCTTCGCTATTGCCACGAGAACGACATCATCCATAGGGATATCAAGCCTGAAAGTATCCTGCTTGCTACCAAAGAAAACTCTGCACCAATTAAATTAGGCGGATTTGGAATTGCCGTGCAACTACCTGATAAACACACCAACAATGTTCCTGGTAAGCAATCGTAATGTTTGAACGGAAATAACGGATTGAGCGAAGAGTTGGGGATGCAGAATTTTATGTTCGCTAAATATATTTAATTTTATGAATTGATTATCATTATATGTGAGGGAGTCTAGCTCAGCCACATGAATTTGAGGTCATTAGTGACATTGATCGAACATTCGTAAGTAAACAAGGTAATTATCTTCGGACGGATCTCGTGGGTTATATTCCCGAGTAGTCGCCAGATTGAATTGTACCATGAACAAAATTTAATTTACTCTGGCATAAAAGACCTTCCACGTCAACTCGAAGTATAATGGAACGACCGTCACCACATTAACCATTATTTCCTCAACGTGGCCCAACCGACTCATCAAAACACGCTGAATTTTGTGAAAAGGGTCTGTAGACCGAACATGGGCTATATTAGAAGGACTAACCGGATTTTTTGACGCAATATTGCACCGGAATATTCRAATAAATGTGAACCGACCTTGTAATTTCGGCATTTATAAATACATATGTACAATGCCGCTTAATGTGATCTTTTTGACGATTGTTGCTGTTTRATTTATTTATATTATCTGGCAGATAATATCATCATCAGGTCATATTTTGGATTTCATTGCAGATACATTGTAGGTACTATACGTTGTTTCCAAATACTAGTAAGTATTTTGTGTGTCTTTTCTAGAATTTAGAAAGAGAAACATTTTAAATTCGAATTAATTGAAAAACAATTGAAACGGGCTTTCTTTAAATTTTAGCCGTTTCGTAAGCAATTGAAGTTTGTTATAAATTATTTATTTAACTTCGGTCTGTAATATTAGTAGTGCTTATAGTCCTGTTTTCGAACCAACTGAAGTTAATGAAGTTTCCTTCATTGCTAGGAGGAACAACTTCAACATACTTTTCAGGGCACTATGGATTTTCTTGTTTTAAAACCGTATGTTGCGACACAGACTGACGTCACAAAACCGCAAAAAAGGAATGAATAATTTGGCTCTTTTCATCATTATTGCTCCCATTTACAAGAGTATTTAATTATGGAATTTTGCTTTCGGGGCAAAGCTGAGTTTGATTAATGCAATTAACTCAGCTTGAGCGAGGAGCAATTTTCTTTAATTTTAGAGGTGTAAGGCAATAAGGCTACTGAATGAGCAACGATTACGATGGAAAATGTTTGGCTTATATTATGATTTATTGTAGTAAATATTAAATGGAAGCGAATCGAAAATGCGATTTTTATTCCGTTGCCAAATAAAACGTTTTGTTATAAATGATGCTTTCTGGAAAATAGGAGCTTTATGGTATATCAGAGAAAGATTTGTAAAAGCTGCACCGTTCGGGTTTAATAATTAAAATAACACACGTGTAGTATGTTTGCGTTTACTTCCGGTTCTCTCCCTTGAGAATGCACAATGTTGTAAATAAATAGGCAGCTTGTCTTTGGAACAAAATATGGGAAGTACTTCTATCCGTCTCTTTCAGATATTACTACATTGCGCTTAACAATAGATTCACATGTTGGGTTTCATTGATCGGACCTCTTTAGGCACATACCACCTGTCTAAAATTTGCTTTCGAGGAATAGGCCCATTCTATTAAACTTTCAGTTTAGGTGTTGCCCGTCGGGCATAACTCCAGAAGCCGCTGAAATTACGAATGCAAATTTCATCAGTTTCCAGGGGGTAATATAAAGTGATATTTGAATAAATCTGGTTGAATAACAGTGTTTTGTCATATTGTCAACACATGGCGGTAGGTTATTTACGATTAATGCGTGCCCATTGAATCTGCAGATTCTTATTTTTCTCGAGTAACTACTCAAATGAAGGAAAAGAGTTTTATAAGAATTAGCAAATAGATGTGGGGACTTATAGACTAACAAAAAAAAAATGTCTGCATTAGGGATAAATGCTGATTTTTTATAGAAACAAAAGAACTTTTCGGATAAATCGGACTACAATTTGTGAATTTGTTTACTAAATACCTAAAACCTGACTTGTTTGTTAGATTGATTTGTTTTGTGTGATGTTTGTTGGATTAGATTGAGGCTGACAATTCACAGCTTGTACCGAGAACTAGGCAAATGCTACCCGATAACTCTGAAGAAAGTCTTTTCTTCGATTCAATTTACATGAAGTGTGTGCAGACCCTTTTCATCTATTTTGGCCACTTTTGCTGTGAATTAGATTTATTTCCCCTTTATTTAAACATTTATTTTAATCTTGAACATAAATTGCAAAACAGGGACATGGTAGTTCGTAAATGTATTCTGCATCTAACAGCTCTGGTTCCATTTGTTAGATTTATTGTCCAACTTTCCCTTACTTGTGTGTTTTCTAAATAAAAACGAAAAGTTGTATGCTGTAGAAAACGGATTGTGTGAGTACAGGACGAACCTGAGTCCCATGGGCCGGATGTATCTAAAGGCTGACAAGGCCGGTAAGATAAGATCTCGAGTTGCTTAGCGCATTACGAAAATACAGGATGTTATACATGCCGTTTCTAACAAGTATTATTGGTTAAGTAATTTTTTATCAACGTTATCTTAATTTAGAACAAACAAGAACACGAACAACAATTAATTGCTGAGTAGCAAATTTGCTTATCCTACGTTCAGGGATCGGAGATTACAACAATCCTGCAACATTTTCGTATTTTTTTTTCGGGCATTTTTTTAAACCTCGGCGTTTTAAATATAATCGAAATTTTGTTAGATAAATACTGACTCTATCTTTTCCAAAGTACATGATGATTTTGTACAAATCGCATTAAATTTTAATGCTATTACAAGGGTGTTGGTACAATGTTCCCTGTTTTTTACGATTAAAAAGTACTTTGTTGCAAACAACCAAAGGGATTTTTTTCACTTTCTTGGTGATATTTTATTTCTAATATTGCCCAATAGGGCTCTTACTTCGAGACATCCTTTATTTTCGTAACAGCCCGTTGCTGTAAGTAGGCATGCATTCCTTCTCCTTAGGTATGTATCATATTCATTTTGTGGCATGTTTGCTTACAGCAATGTCTCTTCTGACTTGTGGTCACATCCGTTAAGAACCGGACCCATTTGTGCACATTATCACCACCATTTGTTGAACTTTGAAAATCTTTTCTAGTGTAGCCGTTCAAAGTTTCTTTCCATGTTAAGTATGGTAGAAACTAATCTAAAGGGACGCCACTTTCTGTACGTGTATGTTTGAAATTTATGTACTTGCAAAGTGTTTTTTGATTTTGATGAGGTTTCAAAATTTGAAAATAAGTTGAAAGTTGAAAAATGCGCAATGTTAGCTTCGAATTTTTTAGAATCTCTCGAATTAAGGAAGTTCATTTTTATTTTAATGTCTTTATAGCATGTCCTTTTTCCAGTGCTAGTCACTCTGCAACAGTGATTTATCTGTGTTGCACAGCACAGCACTTGTAAAGATTAAAATTTTCTTAGTTGATCATTATCACCTTTAGAACACAGTAGACCAATAAAATAGGTCGTTATGTTTACAGTGCAATTTTTTGCAGGTAGGGTAGGCTGCCCTCACTTTATGGCTCCTGAGGTCGTAGAAAAAAAGCAATACGGCAAAGCAGTAGATATTTGGGCCGCTGGAGTTCTCCTTCACGTTCTTCTATCTGGAACTTTGCCATTTCATGGCAGCGGTCGTAGATTGAACGAGGCTATATGTAGGGGGAAAATATCGGTGAGTTTTACAGCACCTTAAATCTTTATTTTTCGCTCAATTGTTACTCACATGGAGTGGCAGAGAAAACATTTACATACGTTATTGTTACGCAATACCTTACGAAAAGAAGCAATTTGCACAGAAAGTCGATTGATATTTTAAACAATCGTCACTAGTAAATTGTAGATATTTTCGTGCAATGTTTGTGTCAATTGGCAAATTGTATGAGATTGGGTTATGGACTTCTGCCAGTTGCTAGAAGAATTTTTTTTTCAGATAAATTCCTCGCCGCAATGGGAATTTATTAGTGATAGTGCTAAGGATTTAATACATCAAATGCTGACTGTCGATCCGAACCAGCGAATTACAATACAAGAAGTACTAAACCATAGGTGGCTCAGGGTAGGCATTTTATGAGTGATAAATTTTTTCATTTTACCTTGGATTATTGACAAAGCCTAAGAAAGGAGCTTATTTTTTACATTTAGAAGTATATTTGCTGGGTTTTCAGGACCGTGACAAAGCTCTTAGACTTCACCTCAACGATACAATAGACGAGCTTAAGAAATACAATGGTAGAAGAAAATTGAAAACCTGTATTCTAAATACTGTGAATTCTAGTAAATGGTATAATTTCGATGAGGCTACTGACGATTTTATTCCTGAATGTGGAAACGACGAAGTGACTTCAGCGGGTAAGTTGCTTCACTATAATTTAATACTGTTGCGAAGAAAATCTATATTTAAATGGTCATTCTTTCTAGCTGTGTCTACTATAACGGATACTTTAGATGATATTTACTGTCTTCAAGAATCGCAATTACAAGAGAGACCTCATTTATTAGCATTATTAGAAGATACTCATCTGCATAATGTACTTGAAGTAAGTATTTGATTTTGTAGGCAGTTTTCAATTATTTCATAATTATGCAAACATGTTTCATAAGTTCGAAACTTTTGAGCTCAATTCGAGTCGTAAAAATGTTACTTTTGATTGGCAATTTCATCGAATAATGAATGTTATTTTAATTTGAACTTACAAAAAATTTGTGGCCTGATTCTAATTGGAATGTTGTTACAGATTTTCGATCAAGTCGTAACTCGGCTTCCAACCCCCATCAAAGCGCCCTCTACCGAGGCTGTGCAGTGTTGTCATCATGTTTTGGAGATTTTACGGGATCTGGAGCATAGGAGAGATATCGACCGACGCGAGATTCAAGAGTTGAATGATCTCCTCAATCGACCCAATTTTAAGGTGAGTGATATTGATCGTTTTAGTGTGCAGCTCTGCCGCAAGATGTCGAGTTTGTATAGCTTTTTGTTGAGCCAACTTAAAAAAAATGGATACGAGTTTGAATTGCCACCATATTTTAAAAAGCAGACGGCCGCGAGCTAATTGGGTTTTAAGCGACAAAAGTTGTTTGTTCCTCTTTCGCTTTATGATCTAATTTTATCCCTTAACAGTTTAAAGTCACAAACGTCTGATGATTTTACCATTACTCCAGTTTAAAGTTAATAGTATTTTTTTTAATAAACGGAGTTCCAAGTCTTTATTGATAAAAAATGTATATATACTGGAGTATTCAAATACTCGATTATTCGAATAAACCACTAAACGAGTATTCGAATTTCAGATTAAAACAATTCCGAGCACTACTCTAGACATCGTTGTTTTATGTGCGAAAATCGTTTCTAATTGCAAAAACATAAGTAAAATTAAGAAAACTTACTTTTTACCCTAAAAGCATGAAAAACATTAATATATTACTCGAACACATCTGAAGTTTTATTCACGAAATACTTTTCAGGACTAGTCATACATTTGTTTACACTAGCAATTCTAAAACCATATCAATACTAATCAAGTATTTGCAGTCTTGGCAGGACTTATTTTATAAAGAACACTTTTAAGATAACTTCAGAATGTTTAACTAAATATATGAATACACAAGATGTCCCGTAAGCACATAATCAAAAGGGTACTGCGATATTCTTTGGATCGAAAGAAGACAATCTGACCTAACGTTTATTAAGAAAAAATGTCTGGCTGGTCAAAGTTSKTSAAAAAATTTATCTTTTTGGAAATATCGGGAGAATGGTACGATGTATTTTGGTGAAACTCGCTGTGAATTTGTTCTTATGTAAGACTCATCTTTTGATGAAACARTCGAGTTCAGCCGTTTTGGACAAGTGGTGAATTATTGAGTGTCGTGGTACAAATACTACCTAGACTATCGTTAGTGAAGGTAAACGTAATTTTATTGGACGTTGTTACACAATTTAAGTTTTGAAGAACATAATCAAATTACTCCAGCTTACTACTACAAGCAATACGTTGTGAGGCTGGCACGTGTGTCAACAACTATATATATGCATTGCTGCTGTTTAGATTTGTTATTGAATATGTACCGAACTTATCGTAATTTTTCCAAATATAAATTTTGCCTAAGTTTACAATATTTAAGTATCTGTACTAATACTTTCCGCCTTCAAAAGCCTTTTCAAGAGAGTAAACAGCAGAAAATCCTTAAAAGTAATGGCGCCTATTTTGAATCACTCTGTTTAATAGTAATATCGAAAGATAATCTGTAGCTCTGAAATTATAAAACGAAAATAATGAAAATCACATCTAATCATTTTAATGCTTTTTCAACTTAACTGTATTTAATTAATTGCGACTATTTTGTGAAAAACATTGATAAAAGAAACGAATCATCCATTTGTGACCGTTTATCTCTACTTTGAGATCGAGTTCCAAATAATGAATTGTCACAAGAAACAACGGCCAAATAACTGATTGCAGTCCTCGCCAATTTGTTCGAAAATTGCCTGGAGCAATTCGCAATGCTATACGCGAGCAAAGATGCAATGCTTCTAAGGCAGACCATTGAATAAAATGGTTTTTTGGTGTTTGTTAAAAGGAGAGTCGGATTCAAAGGCAGAAAAAAATGATTCTGAGAGCTTCATTATGTTTTCGCTTTTTCACCTGAAATAAAACAGATACAATTTACGTTTCGCCAAAGAGTACTTAATCATCTGACTACGATTTTAATTACGGTAACTTGATGTTCCATAAAGGAACAACTTGATTGGTATCTACTAAATATTATCCGGGTGTGCAAACTTTCAATTTCTTTCTGTTTTTCAATGTCTGAATTACTTGTTTAATTTCTTATCGTGAATGATTATAAGTGAAATTATTAGTTGCTTGATGGTCATTGAAACTGATGCTGTTCGTCCAATTCGGTTGTGTAGACTAATATAATTTGTTGATCTTCATGGAATGAATCAAACCCCGAGGTCAGCAAACCAAAATTACTATTTACTGATAATCAGTACGGGACTTTGTCCGTTCTCCGAGTTCAGTTTAATTAACCTGGTATATTTGAGCTTATATTTTCACATTTCAAGCTATATTTTGCATAGCAATGAAATGTCTAGTTAGATTTTTAGCGGCAGTTTCAGGTATTTTTTGTTTTAAAGTATATAATGTAATGTAATAATTATTTTTTAGTAAGGACAGAAAATGCTGATGTTTTTCTATCAATTTTCAAAGTATTTCTGTCGTTTTTGATTCTTAAAAACGTGTGCGAAAACGAATTTATTTATTAACTTCCACTTACTATAAATCATACGAAATATTAGTTTATATTCATTATCAGTTACACTTATGTTCAATAAATCACCACAAATAACTGGGGAAAAGCAGGAAAATTAGGGTTAAACTGTCCAAACAATAACCACCATATATTAAAGACCAGTAATTTATTATATCTTCCATTAGAGCATCTCTTCTTTGTTGCTTTCCACTGAAATCCATTCACGAAATTCTCTGAGGTATATTTTCAGTAAATACAGATAGATAGACAATAATGCATTCAAGCAGCACGATTCCTTGGAATAATCCATTATTTGTAAGGAACGGATTTTTTGCTTTTATATCAGGTATTGAAGGTGAGATATAAAAGATGGTTTATGTTCCTAGGAGAACTTTATCTATTGTGATTTTATTAGAGTAAGCTATTTAACGACTTGGAATTCAGGTAATTTTCTTCGATTTAGAGGTTAGTAAAGTTGGAGTTTGAGTCCAGTTTCTTTTGTCGTTTCCGTCCAATTGATGCGATAAGAACAGTCGGTGCTTCAGAATTGGTTCTTGGCAAATTTTTATAAAATAGACGGGAATATTGGGTACAAGTTCAATCCCAAAAGGAAATTCCCTTTTCATATTTTTAAAAACTATTAACTGCTCCTACGCTTCAATAAGTTTCATGCTGCACCGAAATCGAAATTTCGCGTGACCCTTCCATAAAGTTTTTTGCCAATTTCAGACCGAATATCAAGATTTCTCGAAAGTTCAAGGTGTGTCTGAAATAGATTTTAGATTTTCAGAGACTGGCCGAATAACTTCTTTCTTACCACTGTTTTTGTGTGAAACAGGAAAGCAACGTCATTTTATTAGTTCTTGCTAAAGCTTCATATAGATTTTTCAACTTTATTTTTACAAAATATCAGAAACAGAGTCAATTGGGTTTCTTGTCACGTTATTAATGTGTCTAATTGTGAAAGTTCTTAACCAACGTTTTAACCAAAAGTGAAAAATGTTAAAATATAAAAGATGTCATAGAAAAGCGCTTCTAACTTCTAGCTAACGAGATTTTCCTCATGAGAATTTTTATAATCAGATTTGACGCTTTATGTAAGTTCTTATTCGTGCTGGATGAAAGTTTATTCTAACATGGTGTGATGTAGGTCAATTCGCTTCAGGTTGGTACTTTTTTATATTTCCTGTCGTGCCAGTTTTCATAAGCAGAGTCCATTTAATTTATTAACGAGTATTCGTATTCGAAGGCAATCCAGATATATTTATCTGGATTGAATGGCCCATGCATTGAATTTGAGCTGAAGGTGTGGATAAGATGTTATTTTTAGATACTTTTGCGTGAAGCCTCTTTGGATGATTAAATTCTCAAAGCGTATCTTCCACCAAACAAAACTGTTTACTTCAACAGTATGGTTGAATAACTTGATTGATTCCAGTCTTGTTTGCGAATAAATTTCATATGGATGCCCACGTTTAGTTTGAATATTGTGTAATTATTTATCATATGTAAAGTCGGTTTGGTTATAATATACAGCATATTTTTTTAAAACTGCGATTGAGATTATTTTGGTAAAACATGAGAGTTTTCTAGAAGCTATTTCATTGTTATTCACACATTTGCGCGGGGCTTTAAGTGTCTTCAATCCAATTATTTATTATTATGCTATTTGAAGATACGGGAAATATCTTTTATATCAGTTTGTTACTTTTTCAAAATAACGCTTTTAATAAATAAAGTTGTTATTAAAAACAACATCTATGAATAATACAAATCAAGTTTTTTTTGAGGATTTAGGATTTACGCAGGGTGCCTTGAAATAGCCCAGATAAAATACGTCGAGATTGATAAGATATTTTTGCCATCCAGATACTATTTTTTTGAAAAATGAAAATGTAAAAAAGCAACGTTTTTGATTCTGTACGCTTTCGAATGAAATTTATTTTAATGTTACTTGAATTATTTTTCAGTGAAGAAACCCTTGATATTAGCGTTATTTAATCAAACTGCGTCAAAGCGAACATTTATATCAATATATCAAAGTTATTAATAAAATTATTAATGTTCGTTTGCGATCAGACAATGTTCAAAGAAAAGCCATTTCGCTCATCTGTAGTTTCGATTTTGTAGCGTAACATATGTGGAAAATTATTGCGGGGGCCACTTAGAAGATTCATAAATCAGGATGAAGAAAAATAGTCAGCAATAAAACAGGGGATATCAATTGCAGGGGAAAATGAAAACCATACGAACACATTACCGCGATACTTGGGTTTTTGCAATTTTCCATTTTTGATAGTTGTGATAGTCATTTTATCATTTGAGTATCTGGTATTATAGATTATTAACGTGTGTCGTCCAGAAACGGGTAAGTAATTGATATTAAGTAACTTAAATTATCTGTTGCTATTAATGGTTTTGTTTGTTAAACGGAATTCACTTTTCAATCAATTTTTTTCGGGGATTTTCTCTCCTGGTGTCAATCTTTTCTATAGGCTCCAAATGGAATTAGACTTATAAAATCGATTTATCGTGCCTCAAAACACCTTAAGTTTGCCATTGATTTTATATAGAAAAAACGTATTAATTTGTTTATACTTCTGAAAACCTGATTCGAATTTTCATTACTGGAGCTGTTTTTCTAACGTATTTTGAGCTGGTGAATCGAAAGGTACCAAGAGTTTTTTCTAAGTATCTTAGAAACAATACTTATAAGTAAAAAACCTCGGAAAATTTGGCAAATAAGTTGAAAAAATAACACAAATTGCTCTCTAGCGACCATAATCGCAAAAACAGCAGCTCAAAATGCGTAAGAAAAATTACTTCAGTGGCAAATATCCGAAATTTGGACGGTTTTTTTCCCGGTTTTTCCCACATAGAACCAATCGGAAACTTGAGGTGCATTGAGGCACGTGATAAATCAATTTTAACAGTCCAATTCTTTTTTGCGCAGAGTTTTTAGAGCCTATAGAAGAGATGTTCACCCGGGAAAACGTCTCCGAAGAAAAAAAGAAGGTCTGGCCTAATGTACATGCCCTTTTCCGATCATTCGTTATAATTTGTCAACCTACTTTGTGTCTGCCTAGACGTAAAGTCTTTACCTATTACATATAAACTTAATTTGCGTTTCAGTTTAATTAGGCACAGCTGTTCAATAGTCCTTACCTCAAT